TGATATTAATTTTAATAAAAGAAGATTAAATCTTTTTCAGTCTTATTTTTTACCAAATATCAAAAGTTAAAATCTAAATTCAATAAAATTAAAATATACATATTTTGGACCCCTCCCGAAAAAAATTTCTAGATACAGCCTTGTTTTAAATAATATCCTGTTGATTAGTATCGTGTTATATTTATATGTAAATAGTTGTTCGTTCGGTGTTATGCTATTAGCGACCGTTTTACTGTGCAATATTGTTGCAGACGGTCAGCAGCAAATTATTTTACCGTCCTCAAGTTCACAAGCAGGGTCCTACCAAAGGGATGGCGAGAGGTACCTACGCCCCGAGCGCAATTCTTAGGAGGCGCAAAAATGAAAATCTTGCATTTAATGTTAAAAATTACAACGGTCAATGTTGTATATTTTGTTTACAAAATCTATAACATTCTTAATATTAATTAAAGCAATCATTGAAAATAATATGTATTAAGCATAATATTTTTAAATTAAAAATACATAAGGGCGCATTTTGAAGTTTCGTCCCGGCCGCAATGTTTGGTTGCTACGGCACTGTTCACAAGGTGTTGAAATTATAACGTTTTTTTTTTCAAATTCATTCAAATATACATGTGTGTAATTTTGGGAAACAAATGTTGATCCTGACAAATGAAAAGCATAATCACTGGGCGAAATTTGTGTCGCCTAAGTTCAAAAATACACTGCACTGCACACTATGGTAAATCGAGTCGTATCGCGTACGTGAGAAATCGGCAGAATCCGGAAGGGGGGCTACGGCGATCGAACGTGATTATTATTGTACCGTCGACGTGTTATGATACTGTCGTGTAGATCCGTTTACCTAGTACTCGATCCCATTTCGTTGTTATGAATAGTAGATCGTCTTCTAATTTAATGAGTTTACACTTGATACCTTGATGCAAAAGCAGGACAAGAAATCGCTGTGCTGTAACGTTAGACCAGTGGTGCCCAATCCACGGCTCGCGTGCTACATGTAGCCCATGAAGGTACTTAATGTGGCCCGTTACAATTTTTTTTAAATAAAACAAAATAATAAATAAAAAAATTAAAATAAAATACGATTTTTTTTTTTAATTTATTAATTTTGTTTTCGAACATTTTCAAATTGAAATTTCACAATATAACCCTTGAACATAAAAGAGCGTACTGATCAAATTAATGTGTACCTACAGCGTTTACCTCAATCTATAATCTTCCATTAGTCAATAAAATGTTTGGAAACAAATTAAATATGTACCTACATGTATATTTTATACCTACTATGTGTAACAAAATAACATTATTAGATTGATATTGATATATTTTTATAATTTTTGGCTCGCTTTAAGATAATTGTTAAACCAAAGTGGCCCACCGAAGAAAAAAGGTTGGACATCACTGCGTTAGACGCAAGGCAATGTCGAATGTTATCGAATTCATTTATAGTAATAATTAAATGGTAATATATTTGCCGGGTAACGTTTAAAGGCGGTTACATAATCCATATCAAAAGTGCAGAAAAAATAAGTAACTTGAAATCAAACTTATTAATTATATAAAAAGAAATAAAGTGTTAATCTTTCGAACTGGAGGTACCAATTGAGCTTTGCCATTTAGTTCTTCCTAAAAATTTGCTAAAGATTTTATAGACCAGTTTAAATTATTTAGGCCAATGAGCACCGTATGGATTTAAATTAATTTAACGTTTTCAAGAAAACGATTAAGATCAAATAGAGTAATTTATTATCATTCAGAAATCTGTTTTGGTAGAAAATCATACAACTAAAATAATATTTACAAATGTCTGTACTATTAAAAACGTCGATGGTTTTAAAAATACGACCTGTTTTTATCCCTTTGCCGACCAACGGAACTTTTAAGTCCTCTATGAATTTTATCCATTTAAACATAGGTTAAATAAATTCAGTACTATCTGACCATTGGGACTTCTTATATATGTTACACTATTATTAATCGATAATATTCCCGCAAATTTTCTGTGAAAATCAGTAGATAGCGTTAAATATATGACTTTATAAAATAAATATTGTTTTTCTCAGATAATAAATTTCTAAATTTTTAAAAATAGCATCAGCGTGAACCACTATAGATAAACATTTGGTTTTAGTGTTGTTATTTTCGTCATATTCCAGAGAACAGTAAGTACTGTTTTATAATATTATTGTGTATAAATATATGTTTATTGACAATAATCACTGCGGACTAAGAAGTCCCTATGGTCAGTTGCGACATTTTCATAGTTGATAGTAACTATCGTCAATTGTTGACAAATTTTTTTCACAGTCAAGGCCAAATTACACAAATTCGGCCCACCAAGTTTTCTGTATGTTACCGGCCCACTTAATAACTACCGGCCTTTGTCCAAATTTTTTTAATCGCATATTTCAATAGGTGCACTAATCTTCGACTTTAAAGTATTAATATTTTCTGTTAGCGGCCTTTCACAACTTAAAAGGCCAAAAATTGTCGCGGCCCACCGAGTTTTGCTCGGTAACTCGCCGGGCCAATCCGGCCCTGTTCACAGTCGCAAAGTTTATCGTTTATAATTTATTCTTTTCACCCATGCAACTTTAGTTTGTTATTTCAGGTTAAACATAATCGTTTATTTTTCAATTATGAAATAAATAAGTAATCAAAATTAAAAGATCTTGAGATCGAAAATATTTTAATCGATATTCCTGGCGATGATTTTAACCGATATCGAAAACAATAAATAACTAAAAAAGTTTGTAAAATATATGTTGTAAAAAATATGACAATATCGAAAACGAAAACGACGATGATGATTATTTGGTCGAGGAAGAAATTATTTGGACTCATTAAATATAAACACGAATAATTAATAATGATAATTTTTTTAAAGTTATCAATAATAATTTAAATAATAAAAGTCTTATTATGTTATAAGATATGAATATTTATATATATATTGAACATTGAACACACTCCATTTTTTAACTACAATAAAAAAAAGTTGACCATTTAGTTTTTAATGCTATAACAATTTTCTTACAGTTAATATTGTTAATTATATAAAACATATCAACTATATCAACATTTAACATGGTCATTATATTTATAATTAATTAATTTTTAAATAATTAACCAATTATTATTTATTTATCATTGGATATAAGAATATAGTAATGTCGTAACGGACCATAGGGACTTTTAAGTATACCCCCTAACTAACCAATGAGACTAATTTGTCCCGGTACTAAAAAATACATAAAAAATCTATGATTTTCAAATTTCAAAATCTTAAAATTCATCAAAAAATTAAAAATTATATTGGCGAAAAAAAAATTAAAATTTCGATCATTATTAAATGTTGGTCTACAAGGGGTTACAGTCAGTGCTTGAATTAGGGAGGGTGCGCAGGGGGACGGAGCCCCTCAATTTTTTTTTTTTTTTTGCGTACCCCAACTATATTTTTTCACCAGAACGGGAGGACGCCACGTTCATCTTAATTGATGTCCAAAATAATTTTTATGTGAATTTCAACTTACGTCAATTTGAAAACGATTTTTATGATTTATAATATCAAAACTATTTTCATAATTAAAAATTATATGGTGGTTATAATAAGGGACAACGTCATCATTTCTGAAGAAATATAAATAGCAATGTCTGTGTATTAAATGTATTATACTTTATACATTGTACGGTTTGTTATTAATATTGGCGATCGACGATATCATTATTTCGGAAAAAAATAAATGCCTTCAACACGACCTTAGACTAATCTTCTAAGGCCGTGGCCCGCACTAAAGAGTAAAAATAAATAAAAACAAAAACCAAATATATGATTATATCATTCGATTCTTGAGACTACTTGATTGCCTACAATTACCTATGTTAATTATTATTTTATTTCTATTTTCTATTGTAACATATAGGATGTTGGTATTGCTATCAAAATATATTATATTTGGAATTTAAATATTTGTTTAACTGAAAAGTGGTATTCAAAATATATTTATGGTTGGTGGAGGGAAAAGAAGGAAGAAGCCCCCCACGGGTCTGTGTCAAATAATTGCGCACGTGGAACACAGTTTTCAAATCGTTGGACTGAGTTCCTCTACTTAATTTTTCCCAATTCGAGCACTGGTTACAGTCGGACCCAATCAGTTGTTTATCTTTATTATAAATATTTGGAATCCAAATCGAATACACCTGTCTCGAGGAACCATAATCTTCAATACAGTTACATACGAACATACGTGTTTGCTAGTTGTAAGTATACATATGCTACTGATAAGACCATTGTATATTTCTGTATACACATAACATTGGAAATCCAGAAGATAGGGTAGCCCGTCGTGCGTGCATTTGAAATACAATGTACACATTTAATGGCTAAAAATCACCTTATATGTAGCTTTGTGTGGGACAGAAATAATACTATAAATTCTTACAAATAACATTTTAAATAAATAAAAGCTATGAAAATTATTGTAATATGTTTTAATAAAAAATTTTACCTACTATGAATTTTTAAAGGTATAATTTTGGTCAATCAATAAGTTATAAAAATAATTTGCTTCGTACTTCCTTAGATAACTATTTTCAATCATTACACCAAGTAACAGTTGTAACTAATGAATTTCCGTAATAATTTATAACTTAAAAAGTATAACAATGACTCCATATACTTACATAAATGGTCAAAATAATTGTTTTTAAACATTGTGTTTATAACTATATTATTGTTTTAAAAATGAAAAAATGAACGAATGTTTTAGCTTCTTGTGAAAATTCCTATCTAACGAGTTACTCATGCATTTTTTTTTTTTTTGTCTATAGTTTCGAGTTACAACCGTTAAGTTAATTTATTGTCACTAGAAAATAAAATAATGATTATAATAATAATAATTAATGTTAATTATATCATGTACTTACTGTTATTGCTTGTTATCATATTATATTCTGTGATATGATAACTGAATACATGTGACCATTGATAATATTATTATTTATAGTTTACCCTCCAATAGATAATATATAGCTATATTTGAACAGTTTTTGTTTTTTTTCTGCCCACATTTTAACAGAGCAGTAAATTGAATTATTAATTGTTGTCAGTTAGCGGCTGAGTATGGATTTGTGATTATCGATTATTAATGTGTTCTGTGTCAAACTCCTTTCTTTGTATCTATTATGCATTTTGTATTATATTCATTATTATGCTTAGTATTTTTATGAATATTTTGTAAATATTATATACATGAAGTAAGTATAATGTTTATAAGAAAAACAAAATCTACTTTTAGCTATGAAAAAAAATGATAAATATTATATTCTTTGCTTGGAAACAATCATGCATTTTAAAATATATATATTTATAAGGCTATATAGAGTAGATTAACAGGTTGAATACCATGTAGAGTAAATTGACCGAATAATAACTTTGAAGAGATTGCCTTGATCATTTTTCATAAATTCTTGTATTTACATTTTTGCTTTACATTAAGGATATAAATTTATATTTTGTATTTTTTTTTATAAAACTATGTATTGTGACGGTTTCTCTGCTATAGAATTTAAACTGTAAGGTTTGAACACCCTGCAAAGCCTGATAGTAACAGTATTCTGTAAGGTTAATAGATCCTTTGTAGTGATATTATTATGTCTTATAGTTTTAGCATAATATGAAAATTATATTTGTATGTATTTGTTGTATCTATTAATTAGGTTGACCAACATAATTGAGAAAATGAATGACAGTGGGATTTATACCTGTAGTCAATAATATTATTCTGTTAAAGTAGATTTTATCATTGCATCATGACATATTTGTATAATTACTTGCATAGTATTTCTATATACTATGATACAATTGTATTATAATGATTCAATTGCCAGATTTATTCCATTTTACCTTAATATTGTTAACCTATAATAATATATAAATGCTTTTTGTTATATCTAGTGTTGTAGGTACTGTACAATATTATAAATACTTATAAAAGTAGGTACTATTATAAATAAATAAGCAAAATATTTATGAACATAAAATATATTTAAATAAAGAAATAAACTTAATTTTCACATAAAATTAAATAAAAATCATAAATAATTGATATAATTTTTTATAAAAGTTCATGTATAATAATTAATTTTGATATCATGTTATAGACTTACAATAAGATAATTTACAGGTGGGAACGTGCTTAATAGTGCAACTTACTTAGCTAAATTAAAAATTTTAAAATTTTAACAATTAAAACTTGAATTAAGTATCTAATATCTTGTATTTGTATAGTTTTTGTCATATTTTTTTAAATTAAATTTATTAAAATAAAATTGGTTTACCTTTTATTTTAATGTATGCTCATTATAAATGTATTCATGTGTAATTATTATCTTAGATTTAATATAAGTGTATATAATAAGAGTATTTAAAAACTAATCTAAATTTAACAACGAAAAATTTGAATAAAATACAATTTCAAAATATTTTAACTATTAAATAATATTTAAGAGTGGTCAATTTTGTTATCATCAAATAATAACAAGAAGTTAAATATTGTCTTGCCTCTACAATTGCATCACTGGGATAAACATTTTAAATCTGGATTTCTTTTATTTGATTACACCAAACAAATTTAATTACAAAATATTCTTTTAACATGTATTTATTATTGGTTATATTTTAATAACTTAAGTTAATTATAATAAAATAGTTAATTATTTATACTTGTTTTAGGTGCAAGATGTTTGTTTTGAAAAATGCAGAAGAATTAAATCAATTATTTATGAGAAATAAAGATATGAGTATGTTACTAGATGAAAAAGATAGAAATATATTGCATGAGTTTATCAATGAATTACAGATAACTAAAGATAACTGTTTAAGTCTATTAAAAACTTTTTTAACACTTCAAGTAATATATAGATAACAAATTATTACAAAATCTTAACATAAATTATTTCAGGAACATAATTATTCTATTGAAATAATATGGCTATTACATACAAAACAGATCATTAACTTTGCAGAATTTATTAAATGGTTGGTAGGGTATGTTTTAAATTATTATAACTTAAGTTTTAATAAATAAATTATTTTGCTTTAGTTACCAATGGGATCTTGATCATATAGTTAAAACTCTATTAATAATATCTGAATCAAATGATAAACTAAATCAAACAATTTTGACTGACTTATTAACCAGTCTATTAATTTTGTTATCTGGAGAACCTAATCATCAATTTGATCAACATATACGTATCATTCAAACATTTTTAAAACAGGTACTAGTTTATACTACAGTATAAAATATAATTTTATGTCTTTATTTTTAACAGTCTAGCTTAATGATTTTAAGAAAACCTGAAACTTGGGTTTATTTAAAGAATCTTCAATTTTCACCTTTTCTGATAAAATCAACAATTCATAAAGTATTCAAAGTAGTGCTGAAAAACATGTTAATGGCTGATATTGATTTCCATTTAGATGTTGCATATGAACAATACAGGTTATATAAAACTCCAGATCCTGTACATAATATGCTTTTAATGGTACCTGATTTTTAATTAATTCTTAATTGATTGATGATTGCAGAAATGTTTGTGTCACATATTTTATGAAATTGAGATATTAGTAAAAAAGTATACGTATTTTATCTGATAAAACAAAGTATTACTTATAAAGACTTGTTTTATACTCAAAGCATAGAAACCCATAAATAGTATATGTTTTAACTAATATCTCAATTTCATAAAAATATGTGGCTCTTGCCATTTCTGCAATCATTGATCCAATTATTATTTCTTATTTATAAATAACCACTAGTAAATAATTTTCATTGTTGTATTTCAGATTTTGGATGAACTTGATGTAGATGTTTTGTATTCCTTGATTAATAATGTAGTCACCCTAGATGCTCAAAAGGCCAATTGGAAAATGATATTGTCTTTAATAACTACTTTTGTAAAAAAAAAATCCTACCATTCCCACATATTAAAATGTATTAATTTATTTTTAATGTTTATTATAGCATAATTATTATTAATATTTTTTTTTTATTTATTTGCAGTAAAATTAGAAGAATTATTTAATCAAACTTTATGTAGTTCAAGTACAAATAAAGATTTCTTGAAGTGCAAAGCTACTTTATTAATTTTTCGCCATTGCTGTTTAGAGATTGGTTTGTGGTCAGAATATAGCAGATGGTATAGCTCATACAAACCAAATGTAGATACTGCTAAAGTTTTCTACTCTTTACTAACTGAACTACTGCCTAATGACTTACCAGCTGCTTTAGCAGCCCATACAAATGTTGTAATTATCTAGTGTATATTATATTGCCAGATTTTTTGTGTTATATTAATAACTAATTAGCTATTATTTTTAGCAACCCAAACTAACAGAGTCTTGTTGTAATATACAAACTGAATATGTCAATAAAGCACAAGCCCAACTTACCAAAATAAATAACGGACAAGATTTTATGGGACTGTTTAAAGACTATGATGATTGTCAAGTAAATTTCCAGATTATTCATAATTTATTTAATTTAAATTTAAATGCAAAACTAAGGATCAAAATAACAATGTAAATTTATTTATATTGATATGATTTAAAAAGCATATTTTATTGACCTACAAATTTCGGCTTTAATTCTAGTTATTTATTATTTTATAAATTACAAATCCTTACATAAAATAAAATTAAAATTAAAAAATGCATTATTTTACTAAGTTAAACTATAAAACATTTTTTTTTTTTTTTTGACGTTAATCAAATATTTAATTATTCATTGAGTCTCTAATATATAGATACATTGATAAACCGTCCTATTGTTTTTTTGTGCAATGGTCAAAAAAAATTCTAGAGTTGCAAATGTATGGTTATATCATGCGTCTTTTCTACATTTACCCTTCTCTTTTTAATATTTCCGGTGCCGTATCAAACAATAGCTAGTATTATCTGTACATTAGAACATTAATGAATAAGTGAAAATTGTATATTCTATGATAATTTAAATTTTTGAAACCTTCTTTTTTTTATATTATAAATAATATAAAAGTTAAAATGATTGTCATAATAATACAGTATAAATAATTTAAAAATATCCCTATTGTATAAATTATATAGTTAGTATTTATTAAAAAATATTAATTGTTTAACTAAAAAAAATAATGTAAAAAATTTCTAGTTATAAGAAAATTATTCCTCATTGGAAATGAATAATTTAAACAAAATAATACATTTTGTTTTATTGTAATAGCTTAAAGTTAATAATTTTAATAAAAGTACAAAATATATGAAAATGATAAATCCTATAAGAAATAATAAAGTATAATACTTGTTAGATAAATTAATAAAGAGAATGGGATGTTTCAGCAAATGTGAATTTGATTATGTCTGTATAGACATAGTAATATACTTATATTCACTGTGTGGCGTGAGGTATAAAAAAATTATCTGTATTACTATAAGTTTTTGTTATTACTACACAATAAAGTGGTCATGATATATATAATATATGGTGGGAAGTGTATTTTGATAAATTTTAATTGATGTTTATAAGTCAAGTATTATAAACAAAGTAATGAAACACATTTATGTTATTCAATACAAAGATTATATTTATATAATTGTTATCAATAAAAAAACTAATTTTATAAACAGTCGGTTATCTTTTTATTTTTTAACTTTCCGTAGGATATGTACATCGATGGCTGTAATTTCCCGTCTAATGATTTTTTCCAACTCTAATAATGTATGTGGCTTATTAGTGAATACTATAGATTCCATAAAGCCTCGCAAAAAAAATTTAAGTGGTGTTAAATCAGGAGAATGTGGTGATCAGGTAATATCATCATTGCTAGAAATCACACGATTCGGAAATATTTTTTCTAAGAACAAATAGAAATAAATGCTAGAAATACGCACTGTATGGCTGGTTGCACAATTTTGTTTATTTGAAACCATAGTTCGTAGACGTACTCCAAATCGCTTAAATTTCGCTAGCAACTAGTTGTTCAACATTTTCACATAACGTTCAGATGTTACAGTCATAGCCAGGGTTGGGATTTTATCGCACTTAAAATTATATAAATATACGCTATAATTATTAGAGGAAAAAATTATTTTTGCTGTTGTGACAGAAATTGGCAATGTAACTAAAATTTTAAGAAATTATGTATAGGATATTAATTTTGATCTAAATGTTATAAAGTCTCGTAAGCAAAATTTATATTTTTAAACTAGGAATTTACTTGTTTTTTTTTTACGGAGCACCTTGAATCCGCGTCTGTTTAATTCTCAGTCTCATAAACAGGGAATCTGAAATCTAAAGTAAACCTACGAAGTAGCATTATTAAAGACAACATATTTAGAAATTATTATTTAAATTATTTGATTAAAAATATTATTGTATTGCATTACAGAATCGTCATGAAGCCGATATTGTCAAAGTACTTGATTCATTTAAATCTACTGGTCAAATAATGCGAGTCGTTTTAGAAGCATTTGTTTTTAGAAACAAGTACTTTGTTGGTACATTTCTTAAAACTTTAATGGATTCCAAGTTGGTAGACGATCAATTACGAAATAGTTTTATTGAGAAATTATATAGTATGAATAAAATTCCTAAGAACGTGTACAACAAGTGGAAACAACAACAAAAAAGCATATATTTTTGATAAAATCTTGAATAAAAAAAAATAAAAAAAATAATTTAACAATTTTAGCAAAATATATTTAATCTATTCTGTAATTACAAAAATTGCCCAATAAAAACCTAACTTAATATACAACATATACCCATATATAACCTTCAATTATAAAAGCTACAGGAGTGTTGATATATCTACCTTAATCACCAGCGCTTATCAACGTCCAAGTCGCACGATGCACATCGCTGATTACGACAAAGTAATGAAATTAAACAATAATGTTATAATGGCTGATGATTTAAATTCAAAACATATAAATGGGGGTGTCGAGTCGTAAATCTGAACGGAAACAAGCTCCAAAAATACATGTCTAATACGACGTGTACAATACTTACACCATTTTGCGTTTGTCTAACTGACCAGATACATGACATTTTAGTAATCAAATCAGTTCCGTACAATATTACACAGGAACCTCTCCCTGAATTAAACTCTGACCATTACCCAATTAAAATTAATATAAACACTCCATTGCAATTTTATCGTTAAAATAATTCAATAATCAAAGTTAAACCAAACTGGAACAATTACTCGGACCAAATAGCTGAAGATTTGCCGAACAATGCACTAAATTATTACAGACGCCGCAAAGGCATACTCAACCATCGCGTCAATCTCAAATAGTCACAGTGGCCTGCCTCAGTCCATATCATTCATTTAACAAAAACATAACGCCAAACATACTTAGCAAACCCACAGAAATTCCTCTGATAAAAAAAACATTAAATAAGCTAACTAAAGTAGTGTTAACCCCTCTGCAACTTTTTCGTGTAAATTCTTATTAACTCAATTTTTTGTCAAATATTCATCAAAGTGACTTATAAATGGTCACAGATACTACTTAATCAAGAAACAAACATAATCCCCGCACTTCGTACCTCATCAAGGATTGTCTTATCTGACGCAGAAAAACGTAGTTTTTTTTCTTAAAACCTACAAACTTATTTTCTCTTAATCAACATGCAAACCACTTAAACGATCTCTGGGTTGAACGGGTTATAAAAATTTATAATTACACCGTACAAATTCAATAAATTATGTTATCAACATCTCAGAATCAAAAAAAAAAATAAATAAAAATTGCTTATGTTTTAAAATCTATAAATTAATTTTCTACATCAGAATCATATTTCTATTCAAAGAAATATTAATTAAGCAGTTAATGGTTAGTTATATTAATTTTGTTATTTTCAGTATAGATTACAAAAACATAACTAGAATTTAGATTAGTTGATGTAATGCTAGGTTCGGATTTCCGACTAATCTCTTGAACTAAACAACGTAATATAATATTACAAATTGAACACATAACGTGCGTAGACTTCAACTTCCAGTCGAGCCTGAATACAATTAATGCCGCAATACTTAGACAGTATACCTAATTTTTTTCTAATACTTCAACATAGTAGATTCTGTTTTAAATAAAAAACAATGTAGTATTTATATCTATACATAGAATTATAGGCGGTACTACGGAAGTGGCAAGGTGGGCGGCTGCCCCTTGCGAGTTCTTACACCCCCTATACATATCAAATATTGGTTGGTAACCCCTCATATTAAATGCTTATTTGGAGTGTGCATGGTTGTATGTAATAATATTATCTACAACCATGGGAGCCATTCATGTAAATATGCTGATAAGATTTTTTGCACCAAAATTTTCAATATTATCATAGTTTATTTTTATCAATTGACAAATCATGAACCAATATTATTACTTTATTATTATCTGTATCACAAACGTTTTGTATGATTTTATACTTTGATGTGAAGTGTGTATTTTATTTAGTATTCTTGAGTTTTTTTGGACTTTTTCATACAAAAACCATTACAGGTAAATTGTGGTAAGTTATTATTTTAAAAATGTATAAGATAGAATAATATAGATGCAGATATTTGTAAGTGTATTATTAATTTTACAAAGTAATCTTATTTGAAATAAGTTAAAATAGTTATCAATAAAATACTTTTTTTATATTATTGCTAGTCTAAAGATTTAGACAAAATAGTGTTAATATTTTACTTAAAGTATTTCCTGCCCCCCCCCCCTTACCAAGAGGGTCTAGTACCACCTATGCATAGAATTAAGTATTATATTGCTAATTTTTAGACATATATTTTTGAAGTTAAAAGTAAAACTTTAAATTCTTTAAAATCAAATGATATAAATACAATTAATTGGTTTCCACGAACATATTAAAATATATATAGACATTTTAGTATGATATGTTTAAATTTTACTATGCCTCCAAAAAAATTCTGGTCAAGCCAGGGCTCGCCCCGTGCGCACGCCTATGATTGAACAAATAAGTTTGATAGATGGTACCTTTTTATTTTTCGTTCACTTTCGCAAAAAATGTAAACATTTCAAAAGTTTTTTTGAAAAAAAAGTAGTATATAAGCAATTATTTCTTCAGTATTATTATTTACACTATATTATATTAATACTCAGTTATGCTAATAGATTAGAAATGAACTCGAAAATAAACGATTACGTGCAATGGTATATTGGTAAATATATAATTGGGTATACGCACTAAAAAACCATGAATATTAATCCCGAAAAAATGTTAAACCTTCGTTCGACAATTTTTTTTTTTTGCTAAATTCGATAAATTAATCCTTTATATATGCTTATTACCAGGGCTTGAGACTTATAGCACTTAAAATCATTAAAATAACCGCTTAAAAGCATCATTATAAGCACTAAAATAAGCATTTAAAAAATTGAAAATTAAGCAAAAATATTTATTGAAAAAAAAAAACTATAAAATTCTAACTAAAAAATCAGACAAAATCAAAATAAATTTTCACTTTCAAGACTTAAAGGTTCTTATGGATTTTCTAAGGGATTTTTCTGAAAAATAAAATGTAAACTGTTCTCTCTGTTCTTGATTATTCTGACGTATAACACTAGGTTCTATTTTTAGCGTTAGAATATCTTTGTTAACCCTACAACGATGCCTTGAACGGTGACAACGTAGATAAGATAAAAATTACTTTTAATTTTAATTCTATCAAAATTGACTATGCAGGAGAAAACTATAAAAACGTAAAAAAATTGGTCAAATAAGCAAAAATAATCAGAAAAACTGGAAATAACCATTTTTTTGAAAAATTGCTGAAAAAGGCACTTTCAAATTTCATAATTGTACGTGTTATAACTTGACATACACTTCTATAGCACTCTGATACATTTTAAATCAATCCACAAAAATAAGCAAATTCTTTAATTCCCGAGCCCTGCTTATAACTTATATTAATACTATAAAATATAACACCACAAGATATACATTTATCGCACGTTATAAATTGCACGATGTAGGTTTAAGAACCATGGACGACTGTCCATACGCCATATTATTTTATTCAATGTTATTCACTAAAAAATTAACTATAAAATACATTAATCAAAGGGTACACTGTAATCTTCAACAGATAAATATTTTATTAAACTTCATACTAGTAGTTCATAACAATTTTTTCCTATGAATTTTTTAATAATTTTTTTTTTTTTTTATTGGTTTTCGAGTTATTTTAGAGGCGTATAACGATAAAATAATATTTTACATTAGGTATATGCCGAAAATCGAAAATCTACTGACGGGTATACGGCATATACCCACGTATACGTACCATACACCCCTGGTTACGTGGTAATACTAATATTAATGATTATAAATACTCGGAGCATATTTTAACATACAAAGTACCGGTGCAAATAGATTGCGTAATTTTTCATTTTTTGACCCGATTAATTACACCACGATTGCGCAAAAAAATTGCAGCACGATTGCGCTCCGATCCCTTTTTACCTAATAAAATCACAACACCATTGTGTACCAAATTATAATATGTGTACCTATATATTATGTAAAGTAATTTATGTACAACATAAAATAATGTATACAATACATACTTTAAAGCATTTGCTTATTTTTATGGATTGACTTAAAATGTATCAGAGTGCTATAGAAGTGTATGTCAAGTTATAACACGTACAATTTTGAAATTTGAAAGTGCCTTTTTTTGCTTTTTTCAGTAATTTTTAAAAAAAATGGTTATTTCCAGTTTTTCTGATTATTTTTGCTTATTTGACCAATTGACCAATCCAGCATGGGCTCGTTAAAAATAAAATTTTTTTGTAGGTCTGGACCAGTCATGGTTTAAAAGTTGTTTTTTTATAAGCCCGGGCTCCTCAAAAATAAGATTAGGGTTGGGCCCCGGACAAACGACCCGAGAAAACCGGTTTGAGTACGGCCTTGAATCAATGCTATTATGATCACAGCCATCAGTCCCAAAGCCGCATATTCGATAATTCGAAATTTCGTTCTGTATAGCTTATTTGGTTCGCATTATACTTAATATATTACATTTTACGTACAATTTTTCTTCGGTAATTAGAGCAAAGTCTATTAATACTAAGATAAGTCAGACTGACCAAGTGACGACTACTATTCTTGTTGTGGTATTCGGGGGAGGGGGCAATGTATCTCCCTATACCTAGAACCCCTCTTCAGAATGACCCTGTTTGCCATAACCAAATTACACGTGCCATATAGTTTTGCATCTTTTTTTTTTTTCCCCCCAAAAATATGACAATACGGTAAACAGTGTCGGAAAAAATATAAAATCTTTAATTTTCTTACAATGAACCATAGGCTCTAAATCACATTAAGATCATCTATATGAAGGTTAAAAAATCTATTATGCATAAGATTAATGCTATGTAAATCTGAATGAATGTAAGTATATTGCATTTATACCTATATACATTTCATGGTATAGCATTTTTCGTATACGTCATTATTGCTTATCTTATTTACAACTATTTATTGTATCTTGTAAAAGTTGAGAAAATTCAACGACTACAATGAGATCCAAATTTATTTTTAGTTAATATAGATTTAATATTACTGCTTTTAGGTTTTAATATAGAAAAGGTTTGATAAATATGCATTGCCCTCTACTGGAATAATACAT